AGTTCGCGTCTCCTTGCCCCCCGCCTTTGTCACGCTGCCTTCCTGCCCGCCTCACACTACTTGTCGATACGCTGCTGGGACGCGCGAGGCTTGTCACTAGCCTCACGAGTGCTCGAAGCCAATCAACGCTGTCCCCACTCTGATTGGCCGGCGGACGCGGAGACAACGAAAGGCGCACACACGTGCTGGGCCTCAACACCTCGAAGGCGGACACAGACAACAGCTTGCTTGGAGCGCGCTCGCGGCGACTGCCTACAGAGCCCTTGTGTACGCACTTCCTCAGGCAGTAAAAGTTGTCCAACCCAAACCGTCTTCCCTGCCTTTTGATTGGGAATCTTTATCTTGTCGACCACACTACTTTCGACAAACTCCTGCGAAAAAAGTCTCTTCATTCAGTAGGCCTAAGCGCTTAGCAAACAGATGATTAAGAGTGACCGGGCTAATTTTGTCACCCACATCCATCCCGATAATTCTGCCTCTTGTATCCCAAGCATTCATGCAGAAACAAAATTTTAATTTAATGTCTACGAAAAGACAAAGCAATCAGACATCACTTTCTAGCTTCAGGGTAAGAAAGATCTCTGGAGACACTGGTCATCAGGAAAACTTGCTTCTAGCAAGGCAGCGACTGTGACATGCCCCGAGGCGTCGGCCTAGGATCGTGATGAAACAATTTGGAAAACATTTACTGCTAAATATTACTTCCTAGGGCAAACACGATCGCTTCAGATTTTAATTTCTGTCCACAGTTAAGTCAGTTAGAACGACATAATGCCACAATGTATGTCGTGTATGTTACGATGAACCCAAGACTAGAGCGTTTGTTAATATCTGTTTTGAATATAAACACAATATCAAGGTTGAGCAAATCCACTGGATACAATTCTGCAAATCTAATTAAGCATCAATTCCGAAATGCCTGCATCAGGTTGTTTCCGAACACAAGCATGTCAAATCCTAAAACCGTCCTTATACTGTCCACAGTTGTCCTACTCTGATTGATGATTCCACATTTTTATCTGAATCCATCTTGTTCTTCATATGCCTATAAAGCGAGGGAGTTAATGATAATCGAAGGCTAATCAATTAAATGAGCGGGCGTGCTTCTGCTGACCACATCATTGCGTCCTGGCTTGTCCTCTACCACTGTCGGAGGTATGATGACAGCTCGATCGTCGTTGCCGACAATGTCCACCGTAAGCTCCAGAGCAGGGACGGTGTCTCGCGCGAGAACTAGTTTGTAGTGAAAGTATACTTACGCGGTATCTACCGCACTCTCCTCTCCTCCACCCCTAGATCCGGTGTCTAGGCAGAGTCAAGAAGACCGCAGGTATGAGATGACGCAAATGGCTCACACGGCGTAAACACCCGCCTAGGCGTATCAACACACCTCCCGGTCCATGACTTATACCAGCCAGGATTTTATACCACAACACATTTTAGGGGGGCAGCACAGATCCCAATGTCGGTATTTATTATGCGTGCGCATTCCCGGAAACCCCTGCCGGACACCCATCTAGCGCCTGCGTTGGTCCAGGGCATCTACTGCATGGCCCGTTTTAGGGGCAAACTTGCGGAGGTAAAACATTAAATAATCAGATCAGATCAGTGAGAATTTAATATTAAGATTAGCCGGCGTTTGCCATAGTATCTCAATGCTGGTGTCCCGGTTGCAACTAAAATACTGTCTCGGGTTCAATCAAAAAAGTATGGGGTTTCTGACAGCATAAATAAAAAACGGTGTTTCAGTGAGCTAGGAACCTCTAAAGGACAATGTTTTGGGAGGTGTTGCATTTTCTTACTCCACTAAAGTAGCTTAAGTAGCATGAAAGCACTGGATTCACAGCATCAAAATAACCAAAGGCGCTTGGTCCTGCCTGTGCGCCCAAGGAAAATAAGTTAATAGAAAAGAACACTAAACCAACAAAAATAACACATAAAAGGTGCTCATTGGGGGCTTGAATGGCATGTTGTAGGGGAAAAAACAAGTTCAGCAAGAGATGGATAACGGGGTGTGGTGTGCCCCAAGTTTAGATTGCAGCTGGTCATTACCTGTGGTAAAATCCAGTAAATAAGGAAAAAGGCAACAATATTGTCTTCCCGAAGTTCTAAGTAGGATTCTGCTATCAAAAAGGAATTTCGTCATTGCGATAAACAGTCGTCAAAAGTAGTTTGTTCAACAGATGTTTTTATGACACCCATATATTTACCACACATATCTACTGTTTAGAAGAATGCTATCATTCTCTTCGATTAATAACAGGTAAATGCATGCCAATGCGGATAGCTCTGGAATCATTCCTCGTATTTTTTTGCCGTGGACAGCGTACTATTTAAAGAATGCAAAACTAAGCAAAATTAGAACATTTTCTTGATGGTCCCATTGGGAAAGGCACAGGACTTGAGGAGGAACTGCTAGATACGCAAAGGTGAAAAAGCTGGATACTGCTCAAGGTCAAGATCAAAGGAGGTCTGAAATAAGTTCGTCCAGAAGATGGTGGCATTCAGAGGTTTGTGTAGATGCCTTGTTTTCGCATTTAAAATGCACTGAAAATGTCAGCTTTCTTCTCCAACAATGTCGGACATCCAACTCTATACCTCACTCTAAATATTGATAGTGAACACACACTTCTCTATAAGAGCTAATAAATGTTTAGTGACTGCAGTTTCCAGCAGAAACACGAAAAATACAACCTCAGATAGTGCGTCTTGGCATCTGATAAACATAGGTGTTCATATTGACCTCACTGTGGAAAACTCGGTAACTTGACCCAAATGCGATTAAACTCGTGTAGTCCGACGGGGCCGCGTAGCACAAGTGGTTAGAGCGTTGATTGTACTAAAGCCTTCCCCTTACTGTGTGGGTTCGAATGTCACTGAGACGCAGAGTTTTTTCACATTTGGGTCGATTTGAATTATTCAAAATCTGCCAAAATATCTATGAAACATAGGTGTATGTTCACTTTGTACATTAGTAATTAAAAGGGCAAAACCGCACACTTTTATCGCCTTCAGGCTTTTTAATCGTGTCCAATGACAAAGATTTACCTATGGATATTCTTAAAAATGAAAGGCGTGTAAAATCCGCTCCTGTGCTCGACACAGGAGAAACCTTTTGTTCACAGAACCGCTTAAAGCACACCTGGTGGACCATCCTCCGGTAGACTCCGCTGACCTGCCTTCAGAGGGAAAGCAACTCTGTTGCTAGGCTTGAATCCGCTGTTTATCATTGTATGGGGGTTCAGTTCCGAGATTCAGTGTAACGAACGTTTTTATAATTGTCCTAACATATACAGTCAAACATCTACTCGGGGATATAAAAACACTGTTGACATTACCAGAAGGTATGGGAAAAATGAATAGCGCGGTATATTAGCGAGCTGGAAGTGTCAAGCTGGTGACGCCTTGGCTCATTTACTGTCAGCTTTCAAAAAGATATCATAACTTCATGACACAGTGGAAAGGATAAAGGTTGACATGCTGACACAGCCGAAATTTCTAGAGGATAATCTACAACTTTTGCTGATCCATTGTGGCCTCGGCGTCTGCACACGGATTTCACAGAACTCAGTGACATTTTGAGAGACAAAGGAATGCACTGTAGACAAGTTGTGTTCCATACAAGGACTTCTATTAGTCCGTGAGACAGTTGTTTGATCTCCCGTAGACTACTCACACCATTACAATCCATGACCGTCCCGCGACTTGGACGCAGACCCGCACAACAGCTGGTGTAGCTATATATTCCGCCCTCTTTGTTGGCCTCTAGCATTCTTTGAACAGGGTTGCTACCCCTTAAATAAGACAAGTTGTTTCAGAACACCATCACAACACCACCATTGTTAATGCTCACATGTGTACAACGCGAACTCCTTGACGGCAACTGCAAGATGACCTAGGACGTTGGCAACCGGCGTGTCTTAAAACACAACCTTACTCACATAGTATTGCTAGGGATTAAAAATACTTTCTGTCAAGTTCTTCTCACTTTCCCTTAATTGTATTTTAACAAGGGAAGAAGGAAAACGTTCCTCTGTAAATGGCGTTGATGTTGGTGCTAAAGCGCACTGGTCACATTTCCAGTCTCTTGAGTACTGGATAGATACAGGAGTCGACAAATTAACTGCAAGGGCCTCTGCTTTCACATCAATATAGAAGAGAAATGAAGTATAGCAGGGAAGGCCCTAGTCTATCCGGCAATTTATTTATAACTATTGGTGGCTCATTAATACTTATAACGGGCAGAGACAACAGGCACAGGCTGACGGCAATGATAACGGTGTTTTGAAAAAATTTTCCTAGTAAGCTAAATACTTTGGCTACATTCACTAAAATTACCAGAGTCAAATCTTATTTTTAAGTCGACTCGAAAAATATTTTCACTAGGGGATTCGGCAAGTGGTGGCTCCGATAACCGCTCAGGGTTTTATGTCTGGATGAGCGGAAAACCATTAGGCAATCCACCATCGGGGTGACTGACCTTAGGATAAAGAGAAGGTGCGCAGATTACGGATGAAACAAATTGTAACGATTTCAACAAATTTAAACAATTCATCAGTGTTGCGTATAGCTAAATTGAGAATGAGACGAGGAAATGAAACCTCTCAATGCAAAAGGTAGGTAAAGAACCCGACAAAAACATGAGCTCGGCCTTTGCAAACATTACGAACAGCAGCGAATAGCAATGTTCTTAAAAGACAAGAATAAACAAAGGCGGTCCCATGTAGCATTGGTTGACGAGGGGCTATAAAAGGAAATGATAATCTACCGACATTT